CTCGGGCCTGCTGGCAGCCAAATCCTGCCTGTTCCCCTGGCTGGCAGCTGCCTGGCATGGCTTTGCAATGCCTGTGCGAGACTCGGGAAGGGGAACCCTTTCGTTGCTGTGGGGAAATGCAACCCCTGAGTGGGGGTCCTGTCCACGCTGGCCTCACTTTGTTGCGCTCTGTCTCTCAGGGCTGGAGCAGCGCGTACTCCATCGAGTCGGTGATTATGCAGATCAGCGCAACTCTGGTGAAAGGGAAAGCGCGAGTACAATTTGGAGCCAATAAGGTAGGGCCCAGTCAGTGTAAGAGAACTCGAGGAGTGGTTGGTAGTGGGATGGAGGCAGATGAGCGGACAACCAGCTCTGGCAGCTTGGTTCGGATAGGGAAGACGTGGGATGGCTCGTACTGGGTTCTAGCTGAACTGATGGTCACCCTGTCTTCCCTTGCAGAATCAGTACAGCCTGACAAGAGCACAGCAGTCCTACAAGTCCCTGGTTCAGATCCACGAGAAGAATGGTAAGGGCTGAGGGAGAGGGTGTGCATTTCCTCTTGCTGGTCCGGGCTCCCCTAGGCTGAGTGTGCAGGCGAGCTGCTTGAGTTTTTTTCTGCCGCAAGTGAAGAGATTACCTGGAGCAAGATGAGAGCCGGCGGTGGCAGCCGCTGTCTAACACAGAGTGTGGGGCTGCAGCATCCCTCTGCCCTTCCCCACTGGTCAGTGCTGGACTCCTTCAGCTATAACTAGAGACAGCGCATCCTTGTCCGGGTGGTGTCAGGAAGTAACCCAGAGAGAAAGCCTCCCAGTAATCTTGGAGTTGTGGCCCTTTGGAAGTGGGACATAGCGTGCTTGCACTGGTGCTTTCCGCAGCTTTTCCAGCTGTGCATTTCCAGGTGTAGGTTTGTGTTCCCCATGCAGCTTCATCCCTCACAGATCTCTCTTCTTGTTTCAGGCTGGTACACACCGCCCAAGGAGGACGGCTAGCATGGATGCTGCAGGACCAATCTGATTATCTTCTGGATGCTCTACTTGGATCTAAACGATGCCTCTTGGCTTTCTCCCAGGATGTAATAGCTTTGCCTGTTGCAGGACAATAATGGCTGTTAAAAACTCTAAATAAAACTGTGTAAGCAGTTGGACTGACCTAAAACACTTGCTGGACCCTTGCTAGCAGGCATTCTTGTTAAAACAAACTTTTGAGCCTCTTGTATCGCTGGAAACTTTTGACTCTACTCCAGTCTAGAGCGTCCTCCTTACCTATGCTATGGATTTAATTTATTTTCTTATTTCATGTACACTGCTTTTTTTTGTTACAGTGTATGATGGATGTGTATGGAAAATGTATCTTTGGAGAAAAATTACAGTTTGTTAATTTGAAGAGTGTGCTCTTTTTACTCCCCCCCCCCCCCCCCCCCAACCTGCTCTTGGGTGGATCGTACCCTGCGCTGGCAGCAGCACGAAGCAAACTTATTTGCAGTGGCTGTGCCACGCTGCATCTTCAGCCTGTGGTGGGTTGGTGGATGGAGCCGAGGGGCTGTGCTGGAGGTCAGGGCATAGGAATGGCCCAGGCCTCTTGGTGTTGGCTGCAAAGCCCCAGGACAAGCCACGCAGGAGGGTCTGGAACAGCTGCCTTGGAAGAAGAAAACCAGAAAACGTTGGTTTGTTTTGGTTTGGTTTTTTTTTTTTTTTCCAACAAGGGAGCAGGGCTTCTGTCCTCTCTCCCCTAGAGCAAGAACAGACTTTTCTTTATAACCTGCAAACTTACACCTCTGGAAATGGAGAGGGGAAGATCTGGAAGGCTTTCCTGTGTCCTGCTGTGGATGAGGGGTTTGTGGGTGTACCCCAGGGCTGCCGGCTCTCACCTCAAACTTCTCCATGTCCTGTCTTGCCAAGCGGTAAGAGATGAGTGGAGGCTTGGCTCCTTTGCCCTGTCTCTCCCCACTAACCACATGTGGAGAAGAGAGAAGGTGGCTGAGTCCCTTGTACCTGTAATTGCTGTGCTATGCATGAAAGCTGCTGAGTGCAGGGGAGTGTGGGCAGTGCTGGATGTGAGTGCTGCTGTCATCCCTGCCCAGGACTTGCTCCTGTAGCAAGGGGTCTGGTTCTGTAGGGTTTTATTTTATTTTTCCTTCTCAAGCCATCATTCCTGCTTAGGTCAGTGCCACAGGGCTGAGCCCTGGCCCTTGGTGGAAGGTATTGCTGCAGTCATGCCCTGTTGCTTCAGTCCCTGTTCCTTGCTCAAATCCCTGCTGCTCTGGCCTGAGGCTGCTGGAAGGATGTGGGTGTTGGAGCTCTTCTAACTTCTGGTGCTGTGTTCTTGGCTGGAGGGCATAGCTGACTCATTAGTGTCAAAGCTGGACCATCAGTATTAATTCACTGTGTTTGAATAAAAGTTATTAGAAAATCAAAGGGCCTCAGAAGAAGTCCATTATCTCCTCAGGCAGCTGTTCCCCTCTTTAGGCATTGTCCTGCTCCAAGCCTTGGAATAAAAAGGTGCTGTAGGAGAGGGATTACTGGTGGCTGCTCTGTGCTTGCTGCAGGAGTGGCTCTGGCCTCGGCCGGGGATTATTTTTAAGTGCTTTGCTGAAGGACAGGAGGGTTTGTGATGCTGAGCAGCTCTGCCCTGCCCTGTGCTCTGCTCCTCTGCCCTGGACCAGCATCCAGCAGGGTCCTGGACCCTCCCCAGCCCTGCTCCTGGTGCCGGTTGGGGGGAAGGAGGCAGCCACACTCCACTCCCCTCTTTAAATCAGCCCCAAGGAACGTGCTGGAGAGGGGGGGTAAGATGGTTTAATGAAGGTTTAAAAAGCTTGTGGTGTTGCTGTTTGGTGAGGTGGGGGCTGCACCTGCTGACCCCAGTGATGGGGTTGGGTTTGGGTATACTGAGGTGGTTGGGAGAGCTCATGGCATGTGCACTCCTGAATCCTGGTGGCTTTCTGGGCCAGGATGAGTGGGAGAATTGAACAGGGCCCTGCAGGACCCTCTGTCACTTGGATGCTGACCTGGCAGGCGTTGAGGCTAGAAGCATGGCAGGAACAGCACGAGCTGGTGTCTGGCAGGCGTCTGCCTGTCCCGTCTGTTCTCACCCACCCGAGCGTCAGGATCCGTCATCCATCCTGCTCTGAGATGAGCTCAGCGCTCATCACCACCATGCTGGCTCAGCTCTTGTTTTGGCTTCTCGGGAAAGCAGGTGTGCTGTGCCATCTGTCACCGCTGCCGGAGACACTCCCACAGCCTTTCCCTGCGGGAGCTGGGAGGGAACGGGGACAGGGAGAGAGACTTCCCAAAGGAGACGTATGGATGGCGCGCCACAGGGAATGCTGCCGCAGCACAAAGCCACTGAGACGGTGCTGCCTGCGCTTCTGCCCTGCTGTTGAAGCCCCCGGGAAGATTAAGAGGGAGTATTTAAATCTGCCAAAGAAAGAAAACGAACCAGCACCTTTCACCAAGCTAGCACCCGAGTTTACTGGTGCAGGCACGGAGTTTTCCTTGGCCTCAAGAAGGCGAAGCTGAAGCCAGCCAATATCCCACCGCCAGTTTGAGCGCCAGCCTAGCAGCAGCACCTTGCCACCGCAGCGCTGGTGAGGAAATTGCCACCACTTCCTATGGCGCTGCTGGCAATCCTGCACCGCTGCTCAAGGCTGCCCAGCACCTGGATGGGGTGGGGTGCAGTGCTGGGGACCAGCCATCCCTGCCGAGTCAGGCTCCATTCTCCCAGTGCCCCCTCACAGCAGCAGGAACCCCCATGGGTAGGAGCTGGCTGGTCCCTGGGATGTTCTCCAGCCCCTGCAAACAGGAGGAACTCGTGTCCTGCCCCAAACCAGGGCAGCCCTGTCCTGGGGGAGCATCTTTACCTGCAAAACCCCATCCCCATCCCTTTCTGTTGTGCTGTTGCACACGGGTGGGTAGGGGCACCCCACAGCCTAGCTGCCAGCCCGGCAGGAAGCCAGATGGCTGGGCTCAGCTGGGGTTTTCCGGCGAGGTCTCGGTGCAGCCAGCAGAAGTAGGTCTTCGCTGGTGTGGTGGGAACCGCAGCCGCGGCGGCAACGAGCGCACCAGGACCGTGCCCTCCCTCTCATCGGGCTGTGCATGGGTGTGGGGGGGGGATCCGTACATGGGGTCCTTGCACGGGGGGTGTGTGTGGGGGGGTGCGCCTGTGCACAGGTGCCATACATGGGGGGGGTCCATGCACAGGGTTTGTGCAGGGGGTCTGTGTATGGGGGCTGGCTTGGGGGGGGTCTCTGAGTGGGAGCCACACACAGGGTCTGTGCGTGGGGTCCATGTCCAGGGTCAAGACACCTCGTCCCATCAGCTGGGCAGGGTCCCGAGGTGTCCCAGCCTCACCGGACGGGACACCCCCCCTGCCCCGCCGCTCTCGGGGACCACGCAGCCCAGGGCAGCCGCCGGCCAGAGACATCGGCCCGGGGAGGACGGGGCCGGGACTCCCGGAGGCTGCCAGGGCCGGTGGCCGCCCGCCCGGCCGGTGCCGCG